TTAAGTAGAATGAAGCCAGGCATGTGATACATCAGCTAGAATGGAGCCGGACATGGTTCATGTTAGTTAGAATGGAGCCGGACATGGTTCATGTTAGTTAGACTGTAACTCGCACTCACTGTTATGGGGACAACTAGGGCACAGAAGAGCTGTTCAGCGGGGTAGATACCGACTATGGAAGGCCGATCACTTTAAAGTAACAGTACTCTAATGGTAATTCGCCGATACCAACTATGGAAGGCCGATCACTTTAAAGTAACAGTACTCTAACGGTAATTCGCCGATACCGACTATGGAAGGCCGATCACTTTAAAGTAACAGTACTCTAATGGTAATTCGCCGATACCGACTATGGAAGGCCGATCACTTTAAAGTAACAGTACTCTAATGGTAATTCGCCGATACCGACTATGGAAGGCCGATCACTTTAAAGTAACAGTACTCTAATGGTAATTCGCCGATACCGACTGTGGAAGGCCGATCACTTTGAAGTAACAGTACTCTAATGGTAATTCGCCGATACCAACTATGGAAGGCCGATCACTTTAGAGTAACAGTACTCTAATGGTAATGGTCACCAGTACTAATGGTCACCCGAACACTTGCCAGATGAAGAGGATGTAGTATTGCTAGTCACAGGACCACTAGTTGAAATTGTAGTAGCGCTAGTCACAGGACCACTAGTTGAAATTGTAGTAGCGCTAGTCACAGGACCACTAGTTGAAACCGTAGTAGTGACCTGTGAACCGAGCAATCTGCCCAGTAGCCTTCTCGGTAACATATAGAATATTCGAGTGTTGATCAAAGGTGACACCAGTATACTCCTTGGAAGGATCCGCCTGAGCTATTATGCGATAAGCATTGTTATTCTTCGGGTAAAAAACACCAACGTCACCCTCGCTGATGCCAAACACGAACATATCGTTGCCCGAAGCCTCGATATTAGAAATAGTCTTCTCGGCAACAGGTAGCCATTGGTTGCATTGGAGTCTCCAAAGCATACGGATACCATCATCACTAGAGTAACCAGCTAGGTACCATGCACCATAGTCAGTGAAACTGAAGGACTCGGTAGTTATTTGGCCCGCCGGGAGGAGGTTAGGGAACGTCGTCCTATCAG